CAGGCTCACTTTCCAGATCTGTTTTCATTATTGTTGTTTTGCAAATCCATTAAAAATTTGAATTTCTTACTATATGCTTCATAGACTTGGCATCTTATCCATCAGATCGAATACAATCATTATTATAAGCTAAAATACTTTATTTTAAGCGTTATCGTAATGGAATAATAGTCTTTTAGTACAACACAAAGCCTAATTACGAAAATATTTCTATTTAATAATAAAACAACTCTATACGATCACCAAAACTGTCCACTTCAATGCCATTTTTTCATGTATTTGGATATAAACTTATCTATTTTAATTATTTTATCAAAATACAAGTAATGTTAAAAAAATTTAGCTCGTTTTAATTAGTCAATTATTTTATATGATTATTTTAAAAATACTATAAATCATCACGCGCAGATGCCGTCCGATTCAGTACGCTCCGGGTCTTCCCAACGATATCATGGTGACACTTTTACCCGCCACCGCTCGCGTTCGTTCGCGTTCGTGTTAATTTACACGTATAGCGTAAACTAGTGTTTCCAAGTGCCCCGATTTACGCTGTACGTCCTGATTTTCAGGGGTCTGGTGACACGTTCCGATTCACCCTTGATCGGGACGCCAAATGTCCCGAATTTTTATTAACCTCCCTAATTTGTATTTTGATCGATCATTTTCACAGCGGAATTGAATATATCCGTAAGCTGTTACTACATTAAAATACTTTTACTTAACAATTTCATATTTCCCCACCAAGCTGGAACTAAATAAGCAATATCAAAGTTTTAGACTTTGCGCGTAGCGTGTCGGCCAGGCAAGATACGGATGTCAATCATGTTGACTCGTGTTTTGCCGGTTTGCGTTATGCATCGATGACGTTAATTCTACGATCATTTATTATTTTATTCTATTACTAGTAAACACAGTACCTAACTTAAATGCTGCTGTTTAGATAAGTACATTTAGTAAAATGCAAGTCATCACATATACCTGCAAACTAGTATGTACCTACGATCAACCGCTCTTGTGGATGTTCGGGAGTTCACGGGAATTTTAAATAATGCAACTTGAATGTGGTCTTGAACGATTGTATTGATCTTACAACAGCTGAGAGGGTAAAATATATTGCAAAGACAAAGACCCTGTTTAAAATTAACGTTAAGTACGGACGTAATTACTACAAGTACGTTATTTAACTCTTTACTCAGAAAGAATGCGCAGGCGCTCCAACATGCCCCCGGGCTTTGAAATCTTTGATTTCTACCATAATTAAATGACAGTGGTAATGGGCAAATCCGGTTAAATGCCCTCTTGATAATCCCAGTAGAAGTTCTGATGTCTGCATCGAACAATGCCATCGGCTCCTGGGTGAATTGCAACGACTCTTCCCAGCTTCCATTTAAGCGGTGGAAGGTTGTCTTCCTTGACTACCACCAAATCATTTATCTTTTTATTTCTTTTGCAAGAACGCCATTTCACTCTTTGTTGAAGTTCTGAGACGTACTCCTTGCTCCATCGTTCCCAAAAATGCTGACGCAGTTGCTCAATGCGTTGGAACCTGGTTAATAACGGAGTGGAATGATGATGTTAAGTGTTATAGTTAAATGTAGATGTCTTTGGGCCACAGCATCTACTTACCATCAGGTGGACTGTGTGCTCGTTTGTCACCCTTATCCTATAAAAAAACATATTTAGCTTCCGATATCGGAACTGGATCGGATATTAATTCATCTATACACTATGTCTTAGCACCGACCTTATAAGTTATTATGTGGAAATATTCTTTCAGTTCCAATGGTACCAAGATGATTCGTGCTAAATGCCACTATTTACCTTGCGCTCGCCATACCTCGCACCATGGAAAATTGTGTCCCAGAAATGTGGACAAAATAAGGGAGGCGCTGCGATCACTAAGTTGTCTCAATAAAAGCCTTTTCAGTCTATTTTTCCGATCAGATGCTAAACCACTTGCACGCACAATCATCATTTTTTAATGTTTTTTTTTCCAGAAATGTGGACAAAATAAGTGAGGTGCTGCGATCACTAAGTTGTCTCAATAAAAGCCATTTTCAGTCTATTTTTCCGATCAGATGCTAAACCACTTGCACGCACAATCATCATTTTTTAATGTTTTTTTTTTTGTCAAAAATTAAAAAAATTACGGAGCATGATTATTTTCTCACCAATGCCGCGAAGAAAATTTGTACATTGTTCAACTAAATTCATCTACTTGTACTCACAAACAGCTAAATTCGCAGATACTACTTATCGACGGCAGTTCAGGGAACAAAACGCACATGAGATTAAAGTGCCACGATCAATGCCAATAGGAATCGCCCTCAGATTTTTGGTAAGAAAATTAGCAGGCAAGCGGAAAAAAATGGCATACAATATTTATTATTTCTTTAAAGCTAGATATTTCTCTACAACAAGGTCGAAGTTATACGGAGTATCTACGCGACGTAAACGTGATCAAAATTATTGCACATGCAACAGAACTCATTGTCTACTGTAAGTAAAATTATTAAAGAAGGCAACGATTTGAAATGTGAACAGAATAGCGCGGTTTTAAGAGCGTATATTCAAATATGCGCAAGTTAAAATCTACGTGATCGCTCTGGAACCACACATTACTAAATAGTTTACGTAACTGCAACGACGTAATATTGACGCACACTACAATATTCTCTCTGTGTGCGTGACTGAGCAAGGCATGGAGGATAGAGAGAAGGAGAACGATCGCAACGTGCTAAAGCATAGCCTGCCTGTCCCTGAAAATTTGTAGAATTTATAGCCGCGCTGCCGTCGTTAAGTAGTTTCTGCGAAGTATTTTTTTAATTATTGACAAAAAAACATAATGATTTCTTATATTTACGCGGACACTACACATTGATTAAAACTACTTTTACGGATTATATAGCGATTTATTTATTTTATTTTTAATACCCGACGTTTCGGGTGCTTTCCAGCACCCATGGTCACGGGGGACTGAGATGACTGACGTCCCGATGTCAAAGTTAACACGGAGTACCTTCAGCTTTTTTAATTATTGTCTTTGGTCTGATCTACGCAGAATGAACTAACTGTGTTTTGAAGTCTTGCAGTGGTATGCTTGGGTTTAGTTTTAATTTTATTAATTATAGGGTCCCAAGCAGGTGGTAGTACCCAGCCTCCTTCTCTATTGAAATTAGGATGTTTTTTAATTTCAATAGCCTCACGTATCATCCTTGGTAGGAATCGATGCTCTTTTGCGAGGATTTGTGGTCTATCAAATCTGATGTAATGGTTGGAGCCATCTAGGATATGATCGCAAACTGCAGACTTCCCGGAACGTTGATGCTTCACGTCAGCTATGTGACATATAGGGCAAACAAAGAGATCAATTAGAACCCGCGTAAAAGAACACATAGCTCACGTGAAGCATCAACAGAAATGTGTAAAAGTAGTTTTAATCAAAAAGAAACATTAAAAATGGTGAATTAATATAATATAATAATTGTAATAATAAACCCGAAAACCAAAATAAGACCGAAATTATTCCTGTAGTCGTCTCTGCGAATGGGCTAATCCCAGTCAGCCTCTCGGGTCATCTGAGGCGACTGGGACTCCGTGACGGACCGCTCCGGGCTCAAATGCAGAAGGCGGTGCTCCTCGATACCGCCCGCATCGTCCACCGGTTTCTTTCCCTTTCCCCCTAACCCTCGGACGTTTGGTCGCCCCTGCCGAGGGCTTCCATCTGGTTGGGCTTTTATATATTTATGTATTATTAATTTATTTATGTTAGTATATTAAATACATATTTATTTATATTTATCATTTCCTAACCAGATGTGGATACTCTATCAATAACCCCCAAATAATAATAAATCAATAATAATTAATAATTTATATTTGTAATAATTTATAATATATATAAAGCGTTCAAGCACAAGAAGGACATTTTACCGAGGATTCATCGTTGGTGGGCATTCTTACAAAACTACGACTTTGAGATAGAGTACCGAAAGGGTGAATGCCTCCAACATGCTGACTTTTTCAGCAGGAACTCGACTGAGTATGCAGTCAATGTTATGACAAGAGACTTGAACTGGCTCAAAATTGAACAGCGACGCGATGACGAGCTGCGACCTATAATGGACAGCCTTAGTGAAAATAAGCCAGTAGAGGACTATGTCTTGGAGGATAACGTCTTGAAAAAACAAGTAAACGCTCCTGTTTTTGTTCAACAACTTAGCACAGTTGTCCCCAAGGCCTTCCAGTGGAGTATTATCAACTCTTTTCACACCGCACTGAAACATCCCGGCTGGGAAAAGACATTACAGAAGATCAGAGAAATTTATTGGTTTGACAAAATGAGTTCTACTATTCGAAGATTTGTAGACAATTGTGTTATATGCCGAACATCCATAGGAAGATCTGGTGCTATCCAAGCCCAATTACACCCAATACAAAAACCAACGGCTGCTTTCCAAGTTATTCCTATGGATGTAACTGGAAAGCTGGGCACTCCAGATGACCAGCAGTACGTCATAGTCACCATTGACGCTTTCTCGAAGTACGTTCTGCTCTACTTCTCCAGCAACAAGACCCCATACAGTACATTAGCTGCTCTGAAACGCACTGTGCATCTATTCGGTACACCAATTCAAGTAATAGTCGATGGAGGAAGAGAGTTCCTTGGCGAGTTCAAAGACTATTGCGACCACGCTGGATTAAATATTTACGTCATAGCACCAGGAGTTAGCCGAGCAAATGGTCAGGTAGAAAGGGTCGTTGCAACTCTCAAAAATGCATTGGTGATTATTAAAAACTACGAAGCAGAGCATTGGCACACTACGCTTGAGGAACTGCAACTAGCAATGAACTGTACAACTAATCGTGTCACTGGCTTTGCTCCATTGACGCTTATTACACAAAGAAAGCACTGTGTACCTCCTGAGCTTCTCAACTTGGTGAATATTGACAAAGAAACCGTAGATAACGAAGCACTTACTCAACAGGTACAACAGAAAATGTCTCGTTTAAGCGAACAAGACAGGCAAAGATTCAATCTACATAAAGCCAAAATTCATTACTTCCAACGAGAAGATTACGTGTTGATTAAGAATAACCCTCGCAATCAAACATCTCTCGACCTTAAATTCAGTGAACCATATGAAGTTTGCAGGATACTAGAAAATGATCACTACTTGGTGAAGAAAGTGATCGGCAGTGGACGACCTCACAAGGTTTCCAACAAACCACGAACTACAGGGTGAAAGCAATTCATCAAAATAAGGTGGAAGTAATTCAATTCAATATTAAACTTTAACTAACTCTACGAGACACTAATCTACGAGAATCTTCGAGAATCGACGAGAATCTTCGAGAACCTCCGAGATACTTCGAGAACCTTACGAGAACCTACTAACCTCAATAACACTAATATTACTAATCATTTAAGTAATTGTGTATTTGTGTAATAACTAACATAAAGCAACACAAGTTACTTACAGATATCCGACTCAAAAGACGTCCAATCTATTGTTACAGGTAAAAATAAGAACTACAATCAACGAGGCTGGTGCAGAGCGCGCACCGCCTACCAGTATGGCCGTATCGGCGCAACAACAATAGTTCGTCGATTATAATAAGGATTAATCATTAATTACTCTGTTTAATAATTTGATTGTGTTTAAAATAGTTCATAAGCCATTAATTAATCACTCTTTGATTATTACAATGTAATTTCTTGTGATTCACATAATTCAATAACTGACTTAAACTGATGTACACGTGTCCGCCATGCTATAAATACGGCCGCACAAATCGTGCTAGGTCAGACTCGCTCGGGCGTTCGGACAGTGTACACCTCTCTAAGTCCGTCGTTAGGCTGTCAGTCAAATAAACGAGGCTTTCAGTATACTTGTAGTGTTTTCTTTAGAATATAGTTATGCAACCACAAGACCATAGGGTTGTTACAGTTCGTACTTAGAGGGAGCTGCATAAGCATTAGACAGTATCCAGGAACTGTAGAGTCAGCACTTTTGGTTGCATGAGGTATCAGGTAGAGCTCATGGGAGCGGCCACATCGTTCTGACATCGAATTCTGTCAAGACGTATTAATTAAGTAGTTATAATTATAATTGTATTAAGAAATAAAATAGATTTTAAATAGTTTTAAAAAATCATTTTACGTTCCCGTAATCTTGACCAGATTGAAGACGAGTGATCACCATGGACGTAACATTAGTCACCCTTTTTTAAAAACACAAAGGAGCTCGGTCCTCCGTTATATATAATAATTAAAATTATAAAAAATGTAATTTACAATTAATTCATTAATAAATAACAATAATTCCGTTATTTTCTTTTTTTCTTTGAATGATATTATAATCATTTCAAACTAACTCACAACAGGCCGCTTTTATTGAGACAACTTAGCAATCGCAGCGTCTCACTTATTTTATCCATATTTCTGGGACACTATTTTCTACAGCGATCGTTCTCCGGTTCTCTAACCTCCATGGTGTACAGAATAAACCAGCGATCACAAGGGGTTTTGGCCGGAACTTGGCCGTAGATGGATTGTTGCTCCTGTTTTGTCGCTTGAATAATGGTGTGAAGTGGATTTTGATTCGTAAAAGTGATGCAATTTTGTGTCTGCGCGTGTGAACTATTAGAGAAAACGACGAAACAAATGCTTTGATGTCGATATGAACATAAGTATTTTAATCGCTTGGGCGCCTTATGAACTTGAGTGGCTGTCATCATCAAATGTCCGCTAGGTTGAGATATCTAATTGATAGATGGGTAATTTATTTTTTCACAACGTAATTAGTTAGTATGGCAGCATTACAAGTGTCACTCGCTCTGCTCGGGAAATCCCCAAAAGATTTTTGCGCTCTGTCCAAGGTACTTCGCTCTCGCATTCGTCACACACTTTCGTTTTAGGAGAAATTTATATGAAAATATTTGGAAATATGTATGTTTTATGTTTTATGTGTTTCTATTCGTTACTCATACTAAAATATAAAAAAAAAATAAAAAAAATTAATAATATTTATCTGTATGACATTTCGAACAATATTTCAAATATATTTTTGTGTGAATTTGAAATAAATACAACGTCAAGTTATTTGAAATATGTTATAAAACTATTTTTTAGTTACATTTTACACTAAAAATAAATGAGAATTAGAAAAATAACACATTTTTGACCCAACCGCCAAAATGGACTTTCTCGATTTCGAAGTACTTTTGGTACTTATTTTTCACTTTTTATGCCACACATTATATATCTACGTGATTACTATATTACAAGGAATACAAAAAAGTATAATACTTTCGTTTTTAGTCCAGACACAAATATAAAATTCTATAAAAAGACGGGACACCTTCTGCAATGCGACACGTGGAACGCCGAAAGTTCAGAGTGAATTCTTTTTTTTTTTCTAAAAAACATTGCCAGGTTATGGTTTAAAATAAAAGAGCATATCTTTGTCTTTTACTATATTATTCATTGCATATTGTCTTTGGTTTCATTTAAAACAAAAAAATATTTTTTTCATAGGGCAGTATTTGGTATCAAATTTGATACCGTCCTGAGCCTGCCGTAGGTAATTTTGTAATATCGAATAAGAGTATGGCCATGAGCTAACGGTTTAAAATTGTCTAGAGAGCCCAAAACTCTCATACGTGACAATTATAATTATTTTCATAACAGCCCCAAAACTGGAATTCTAAAAGGGTTTCAGCAGTTCTTACATCTAAAGCCTCATAAAATCCTCCATCCAGCTCAAACTCGATGGCTTTCGCTGAGAGAAGCAGTTTGCCGTATTCTAAAACAGTATGGCGCACTAAAATTACATCACTGTAACCGCTCTTACGGACCACTTGAATGCTGATTCGATATTGTTCAGATTAAAAAAAATCCATATAATAAGCTAAATTTAGAGTTTCTCGAGTTTTCTTTAGAGATGTTTAATAAATGAATAAGCTGATGCAGTCAGAGCGTTCATAGTAGTAGTTCATAGCAGTTCAGAGCAGAGTTCATAAAACGCGTGAAAACATGGTGACTGTTTTTAAAACTTTACTGGAATGTTACATGGACGTCGCATACGTTTCGCGAAATGAAGTCGGTTTAATTCAAATTGACAATCCACGTCATTACAAATCAATAGATGACTTTTACCTAGCAGCAAAGGTTTCAGCCTCCGTTGTCTCTACGAGTTCAAACGCTCTTCACTAATAAGATATTGAAGCATTCAAACTTGTGCCTTGACTTTTTTTTATTGAAGGGGCAAATCATGTAGAAAAAAGGTACGATTTCAGCAATGATGTGTTTGAACAAATGCAGTTATTTGACCCACAAGCTTTCAAGTCTCGTAGAATTGATTCATAGGTCACTTTGGTAGTAAAGTTTCCAAATTTGATCTCAGTTGATGAACTGCAAGAATTAGACACAGAGTGGCGGCTTTTGCATAATAATAATGATTTAACGCCTGAGGAATTACAAGATCTCGAAACCTACTGGTGTAAAATCGCTGGAGCGCGTGATTCTGCTAAATACAGCAATCAATTATATCTTACGCTGTCGAAATTTGTTTCTGCAATCTTAAGTCTACCTCATTTCAGTGCTGCCGTAGAGAAGATCTTCTCATTGATTAAAACTACTTTTACAGATTTTATCGCGTTTTATTTATATTAATTGTAATACCCGACGTTTCGGGTGCTTTCCAGCACCCATGGTCACGGGGGACTGAGGTGACTGACGTCCCGATGTCAAAGTTAACCCGGAGTACCTTCAGCAGCTTTTTAATTATTGTCTTTGGTCCGATCTACGCAGAATGAACTAACTGTATTTTGAAGTCTTGCAGTGGTATGCTTGGGTTTAGTTTTAATTTTATTAATTATAGGATCCCAAGCAGGTGGTAGTACCCAGCCTCCTTCTCTATTGAAATTAGGATGTTTTTTAATTTCAATAGCCTCACGTATCATCCTTGGTAGGAATCGATGTTCTTTTGCGAGGATTTGTGGTCTATCAAATCTGATGTAATGGTTGGGGCCATCTAGAATATGATCGCAAAATGCAGACTTCCAGGAACGTTGATGCTTTACGTCAGCTATGTGTTCTTTTACGCGGGTTTTAATTGATCTCTTTATTTGCCCTATATATGAGAGACCACAATCACAATCAAGCTTGTACACTCCTGCATCTTGTAAAGGAATATGACACTTGACGGATGGTAAGAACTGACTAATCTTCTTCGGCGGCTTGTAGAATGTTCTAATAGAAGCTCGCTTCAAGATGTAGTCAATCTTGTCTGTGACACCTCTGACATATGGTAGTATAGCAGGCACACGCTCGACTGTCGCCGGCTTTACTCGGTCACTGTGACGGAGGCGCGGGACCCGAAGCTTGTTGTAGTGCAGAACCTGCTTGACGTGCTGAAGCTCGGCGGCCAGGTGTTTGCTGTCACAGATCCCTCGTGCTCTCTGAAACAAAGATTTGCCCACGGTAGCTAACTGTGAAGGATGATGGTGAGATTCACCATTTAAGTATCGGTTTTCTATGGGTCTTTTTCTATACACAGTATGACCTAAGGTGTTGTTAGGATTTCGGGTGACTAACACATCTAGGAAAGCTAAGGAATTATTTGCCTCTAACTCCATAGTAAATTGAATTTTAGGGTTTATGAAATTAAGATGTTCTAAAAAATGCAGTTAATTTGTCTGATGATAAAATTGTGAAAGTATCGTCTACGTACCGCTTGTAGAACCTTGGGGTAACAGGTGCAGTAAGGAGGGCTTTCTCCTCAAAGTCTTCCATGAATATATCGGCGACAATGGGAGATACAGGTGAGCCCATCGCAACACCATCTACTTGCTTGTAAAACTCTTCCTTCCACAATAGATAGCCAGATGTAAGGCAATGTCTTAGTAGTACTGCATATTCTGGTGGCATGTTATTTTCAACTAGTTTCCTAGTTATAATTGAGATGCAGTCTTCAACAGGTAGGCATGTAAATAGAGACTGAACATCAAAACTGATCATGGTTTCATTGTCAGCAAGACGTAGGTCTTTTATCTCACTGACAAAATGAGATATGAATCCTTAGTATGTGCTCTTGTGTGTCCTCTGAGTGGTGATAATATTTTGGCTAAGTGTTGAGCCAATCTGTACCTAACGCTCCATTACGTCCAATAGTGAGTCAAATCGATTCGCCAACGTACAGATTGGCTCAATATTTAGCCAAAATATTATCACCACTCAGAG